GCACCCGCCACCAAGCTCAGCTAATTTTTGTATTTTTGTTAGAGACAGGGTTTCACTATGTTAGCCAGGCTGGTCTGGAACTCCTGACCTCGGGTGATCCGTCCGCCTCGACCTCCCAAAGTGTTGGGATTACAGGTGTGAGCCACCGCACCTGGCTGCTATAGAGTGCTTTAAAAAAAATGTATATTTTTCATGTAGCCTTTCCCTTTGGTGCAACATCTCTTTGGCCTGTATGGCTGATGATTCTAGGCAGCACTCAATGCCATCTCTGCCGTAAGTTCCTTTCTGTACAGCAGCTCCCTTGCATTCAAGCTCCTTTGACGTACTCGGTTGGAAGGTTCTTTACGGTGGCTCAGATGCTGCTTACAGCTTGCTGAGTAGCAGTCCCTAACCTGATTTGTTAATGTGTTTTCTTCCCCCTTTCTCCCTTAATTTACATTTAAACTGGTAGTCCAGTAATAATGATAGTATTTAGTCATTATGTCTTTACAGGGTCTTACAAATCTGAGCTTGTTAGTGATGAACAAGTCCCCAAGGCCTGGTCACTCTGTAGAGAGCATAATGGTTACAGCCTAGCACCTATTCATCTTGAATTTAATGGTCACTACAGATTGCCTGAGGAAATATGAGTTAAAGTCCTGGAAGCCCTCTCCACTTTCGCAGGGAAAAGATGTTTGGCTTTTCGAGAACCCCTGTCAAGGTTTTGAGCATGCAACCAGGAAGGATCAGTGGTGGCTGAGCAGAGGTGCAGGGGCTTGTTCCATGGCCACCTGTACCTGCTCCTGGAAGGGCTGTGAGTCATGGAATGCAGCCGCATACTGAGGCCACTAGGTCAGGTCCTTGGGCTGACAGAGGGTAGATTTCTTTGTTCTTAGACCTAAGTTGGCTCTTGTAGGGTGGAGGCGGTGGTATGAGAGCAAGGGCCTTCTGTCTCTGGAGCCCTCCCTGCCTCCTCCAGTTTGACGGATGTTTCTGTACGTCTCAGATGGGTCTCTAGGGTTGAGACAACAAGCCTCTCAAGGGTTGGGTTACTTCATTCTTCGTATTTCCACAGCCTGGCCTAAGGTGCACAGTAAAAATGAGAGCAGCTTATGTATGGGAAGAATCAGATCTGAATTCTGGTCTGTCCTTCAGCTAACTGTGCTGCTAAATTACTCTTCCTTTCTGAACCACACTCTCCTCATCTATGCAAAGGTCACTGTAGAGTTCTGGAGATGGATGGTGGTGACGGGCGTACAACATTATGAATATTTAATACCACTGGGCTGTAGATTACAATGGCAAATTTTGTTATGTATATTTTACCATAATAAAAAAAGTAATTGTGAGACTTAAAAGTGTGCCTGGGCCAGGCGCGAAGGCTCACCCCTGTAATCCCAGCACTTTGGGAGGCCGAGGTGGGAGGATCACCTGAGGTCATGAGTTCAAGACCAGCCTCACCAACATAGTGAAACCCCATCTCACCTAAAAATACAAAATTAGCCAGGTGTGGTGGTGCATGCCTGTAATTCCAGCTACTCAGGAGGCTGAGGCGGAAGAATCGCTTGAACCTGGGAGGCGGAGGTTGTGGTGAGCCAAGATCA